ATATTGCCAATATAGTATGTCAGAACTAAATTACTATAAATTACTAATAATGGCTGAGGAAATTCAGACATTAAACATGAGTCATTCAATGCTCAGTGGGAGCAAGGAACAGAAAACTATCCAGGTCCTCCGAACTGCACCATATGTCACAATACAATGCCTGTCCCTCTGCACAAATTGGCCATATGCACAGAAATGAAGCAATCACAGTCCTCGCAGAGAAGGCTGAATTTACAGACTTCCATTTCCAATGTGCTCCACTCTGCTGATGCTCTGCCAGATTACTGGGCCTCAATTTTCTATGCTGCGGTCAAGTCACAACAAGGGTGTTTATTGTACATGACTGGCTCTCTTCTACTGAAAAGCAGAAGTTGTTTTGAGTGCATGAAACTGAGGCACAGCGTCTCAGCTGCAGCAGAAAAGGATGACCTTTAAATGAGAGAGGTCTTCCTGCTGCATGAACTGGCTTGATTAGGTGATGTCACAGGAAACGAACTCTCTCCTTATCAAGAGTCAAAGATAAAATCCAGCAACAACTGCAACTTTTCTCTGATGTCATTGGATGGAGTTTTAGGACAGGCACTCATTCATCTCCATAAGCATATTCATTCAAACAAGACATTACTGTGTACTCAGCAACTCAAATGCACCAGATTATAACCTCTAAAGTAGGTCCTCTATGATTCAAGTTTAGTTTAGACTTCTTTGTTGAATCTGTGTAGACTATTTAAATCTGTTGCAAGAACTGATAACTTCACACAACATTTCTAAGTCGGTGCAAAGCAAGCTATGGCATAGATTTCAGAGCGTTTACAGTTACTTCCAAAAGGTGTAGATTTAATACTGAAACACAGATCGACTCTCGCGACTGCGTCCTCGTGTATTTTTTAAATCAGGGATTTTCCACTTTCTTTCTTTAAAAAAATAAATCAATAAAAAAATCTCTGTTTTGAAAAAGATCCACATGAAAAAGTGATATCAAGCTTGATTAAGAGCATGTTAGTGCAACTGGTGGCAATGTAGGCCTAATCATTCAAAAATGTCAGCCAATCAGAACCCTAGAAATATCAAAGTCAGACATTAAAAAAGAAGATAAAGGTGCACATCGTTTAAGTTGCAAGATCATGTCTTTGCTTTTCTCTCCACATGCAGAAACTGAGTTTCTGAAAATCTTTACCCTGGAAGGAGTTTTTTCAAAAGCTCAGTTTTCAGTTCCCTGAAATGCAATTTACACCTGCACAGTTTTTAAAATATTTACACTTAATATTTCATCACTGTTCAACAGAAAATATGAATATGAGAATAACTTAATTAGAAAATTGTTTACATATTGTAGTGATATTTGTACCTATAGAGGCTAAAAGACAAGCAGATAAACAGAAGATAAAACAGAAAACAAAACTGACAGCTAGTTCTTGTTTACTACTTTCAAATCTGTCTTCAAAGCTTTCACAGTTTCTGAAAATCCCTGTTTCAAAATTCTGACGCAGCTCCGGCATGTGCGCAATGTTATTATTGTGACATTACCATAAAAAAGTCTTTATTTCCTTGGCTACTGGTAGTGTTAATTCTTATTTTTTGAAAGCTAGATTTACAACATTTCTACAGTATCTTCTTACAGTGAATCAGCTCTTTCTGACTTCATATGATCCAGTTCTTTACCATTATTTCAGTCAGTTAGCTAGTCAGTATTATGTGTGTGTCAGTGTTAAGTAAACAATTTGATCATATTATACACTATATGAACAAAAGTACTGGGTGACCTACACATTACACCTGCAGGAGCTGCTCGGCCATGGAAGTCGATGCCATGAAGCTCCCAGCACACACTTTTGTGCTGATGTTATGCTAGCATTCACAACTCTTACACACGACTCGCCCCAACCTTCAGCGACCCTGCTTTGTAACTTTGCATAGTCTGCCACTTCATGGCTGAGTTGCTGTCGTTCCTAAACATTTCCACTTTGCATTAATATCACTTACAGTTGATTGTGGATTATCTAGAAGGGAAAGAATTTCACAAATGGACTTGACGGTGGCATCCTATTACAGCACAACAGTTGAATTCAGTGAGCGCCTAAGAACGACCCATTCTTGCAGAAACATTTGTAACAGCAGACTGCATGGTTAGGCTCTTGATTTTATAGACCTGTGATAATGGGAAAACACCTGAAATCAAAGATTAAGAGGTGTGGCCAAAAGCATATTGTGCATCTCTCGTGCAGTACGTAAATAAGCAAATAAAATATGGCCTACACGGCTAGTTTATTAATGCTTGGTCAAAAAGATATCTATGGTCTGCTTTTTTTTCAATATTTTACGGTATTGTATAAAATAAATCCATGATTGTGATTAATAGTCAGGAATCAACAGTCATTTTTCACCATCCATGTTACTGTCAACAGATATCAGCACAATTTAATTGTATTGGAGCTGCCAGCACAGGCATGGCTCCTGGAGGTTTGTAAAGTCAGAGAGGTGCAAGTCCAGGAAACAGACTTTGTAAGGGCAGAGAGCTTGAAGCGATCACAAACAATGGGTGTGGAGTCAAACAGGAGTTCAGCACAATACAATGATGAGGTACAGAAAGGTCATTAGGTAAACGGTGTTCAAGGAAAGGTGAAAAGGGGTAGACGAGAGAGCAACACATTCCTAAAGGAGGGAAGTGAGAGGCTTGCAGAGAGGAAGGGTTCAGGGGAAAGCACACTTAGAGCTTTCTTGTACAAACAAACAAGTAAAAAACACAGGAATATCAGAAAGGTCTCTAAAACCTAAACCGTACTGTGGAAAGCCCAGATAGCTGCCCTTTCTCACTTCCAGAGACACCACATACAAATGTACACTTTCATGCTCTCTAAAAATAGCATTCATCAGCACCTCCCTGTGGGTCTCACAACTTTTTACAGTTCTCTCACACAACTGATCCAAAATAAATCCGATTGACAATAAGTACGCAATCCCTTTGACATGCAAATGTCAAATTATAAACCAGTGTGGTGAGAGCTGTATCTCATACTAGGGATATATTTGACTTCTTGTTTCTGTGTGAGAAACAGCCGAGCCATTCACCACTGCCAGGGAGGCACTGGGCCACTCGATCACTGCTGGGAACAGACAAGAGCTGACAGAAAGCAGACAGAGAGCCACCTCACTGCAACTGCACCTCTAAAAATACATGAAGCAAGCAGCATTTCATACTAACCACAGCTTCATGCATGATATAAATCATGATCTCTCATTATAAGAATAGATTTTTATTCACTGTATAGGTGTGACAAGAGTGTCATGTTCATTCACAGCAAGAGCACAAAGTCAGTGTTTGTGCTCACCATTCACCCACATACATACATACATACATACATGTATACACATGAATTTAAACATATATTAACAGGAAAATCAGTTCACCTACATATTGCACCATTATAGCCGTGCAGCTGTGCTAAAATGCATTTTCTGTATGGACTTTCAAAAGATGAGGGATGTGAAACTTTTCAACCAGGTTACAACAACTCAAGTGTGTGAAGGACTTATTACTTTTAGCCAAATGTAATGTAAGCAAAAAGAAGGAGGCTGTGCAGCGTCACATCTCTGCAGCTGGAAGAAAAGGCGATATGAGGAGCCCTGCAAGAAAGTAAAGTTTCTGCGCTGCAACTTTTTCAGCTTCCTAAAATCTCTTTGGAAGGTTTCTCTGATGGATTTCCACAGAACACAAACTGCAGTTTAACAGCTGGTGCTTTACTGACAAACATCTTAGTTGAATTCCTTTCTGTCTTACATGAAAAAAAAAAAACACATTTGCATGTACGACAAATATCCCATACAGCTGTGATAACTATGCCTTGGTTCCTCACCTCCAAAAGCATGAAAGAGGAGCAGTAGTCCCACGAGCAGAGGGGCAGTGTCCGGTAAAGCCATGACTATCGGTCGGTGCTGCAGATGTCCGCGCTGAGGTGTGTGTGCGTGTGTGCGTGTGTGTGAAAGGAGTCTGACAGGAACTGGTCCTCCTGGAAAACTGTACAGAGTGAAAGAGAGGAGTGGCGGCGCAGCGTGGAGAGGCAAATGATGCAGAAAGGGGCAGAGACACGCTGTAAAGAAAGTCCTTCCGCACAAGTCATCCGAGAGCTGCTCTGAAAGGCATCACGTTTTATTATTTATTGTTTCATTTTCTTTAAATCACTCTGTCTCGGTCATTTCTTTACTCATTTAGTTTGATAAATACACTCGAGATCCGAGCTCCAGCTCCAGTGAGCTGTTGGTTATTTTTTGCAGCGGGCAAATAGAAGGGAGGACCTTCAGAGAGTGGAGCAGCAGGCGGAGGAGGAGGGCGGAGGTCTGGAGTTAAATAGTGTGAAGTTATAATTTACAACTATTTTGTCGTTGCCAAGACTCAAATTTGATACATTTCCTCACCAAGCGTGTCATAACTTATGTTTTCTCAATAGGGGACCGTGACTAGTGGAGGATAATTTAGCGTGGAAATTGACGTGAGAAGGTGTGGCAGTTGTCCCGCCGTTTGAATTCAGGTCATGTGGTGCGTTTTTTGGCTTGGTGATCATTTCAGATTGACATCAGGGCTGTTTGCAGTGTTGTGCTGAGATAATAAAGAAGATACTGGTGGAGCTGAGTGTGGAGGCAGGAGCAGAGAGAAGGATGAGGATTTATCTCCATCTTATCTGCAAGTGGAGAAGCCGAAACTCTTAACACTTTATAAACACTGAGGATAAAGACCGAACTTCTGTGTGCCAGTGCCACACAAGCCCAGCAGTTCTCAGTGTTTAATTCAGAGTCTGAATAATACCGGAGGTGCCAGCGCTATCAGCACACATACAGTATTCACAGGTGCTTTGGTGAATTGTTCACAAATCCTTTCTCTGTTTTCCAGAAACGTTTTCCAAATGAAAATGCCCCCCTTGGAATGAATATCTCCATTTTTAACCTGTGTAGTTATTATAAAATGGCAAAAGTAAACCACATCTTATGATGAAAAAGTTTCTCAGAAGTAATACATTATCTATGAAGCCAGATAACACACACCAATTAGTTAAACTGCAGGAATGTCTTAAAGACATGGATGGCCACTAACTTTCTGCTCCTTAATTCAGATAAAACTGAGGTTATTGTACTCGGCCCTGAAAAGCCTAGAAATATGGTATCTAAGCAGATTCTTACTCTGGATGGCATTACCTTGGCCTCCAGTAACGCTGTGAGGAACCTTGGAGTCATTTTTGACCAGGACATGTCCTTCAATGCACATATTAAACAAATATGTAAGACTGCTTTTCTCCATTTGCGCAACATCTCTAAAGTTAGAAACATCCTGTCTCAGAGTGACGCTGAAAAACTAGTTCATGCATTTATTACTTCCAGGCTGGACTACTGTAATTCATTATTATCAGGATGTCCTAAAAACTCGCTGAAAAGCCTTCAGCTGATCCAAAATGCTGCAGCAAGAGTACTGACAGGGACTAGAAAGAGAGAGCATATTTCTCCTGTTTTGGCTTCCCTTCATTGGTTCCCTGTTAAATCCAAAATTGAATTCAAAATCCTGCTCCTCACATACAAGGTCTTAAATAATCAAGTCCCATCTTATCTTAATGACCTTGTAGTACCATATCACCCTATTAGAGCACTTCGCTCTCACACTGCAGGCTTACTTGTTGTTCCAAGAGTATTTAAAAGTAGAATGGGAGGGAGTTTTCAGTTTTCAGGCCCCTCTTCTATGGAACCAGCTTCCAGTTTGGATTCAGGAGACAGACACTATCTCTACTTTTAAGATTAGGCTTAAAACTTTCCTTTTCAGTCCCCTTTTTTGTCACTCACTATGTGTTAATAGACCTCTCTGCATTAAATCATACCTGTTATTAACCTCTGTCTCTCTTCTACAGCATGTCTTTATCCTGTTTTCCTTCTCTCACCCCAACCGGTGGCAGCAGATGGCCGCCCCTCCCTGAGCCTGGTTCTGCCGGAGGTTTCTTCCTGTTAAAAGGGAGTTTTTCCTTCCCACTGTTGCCAAAGTGCTTGCTCATAGGGAGTCAATCAATCAATCAATCAATCAAAGCTTTATTCGTCACATGCAGGTTACCCTGCAGTGAAATTTGAAATTCCTTTTTGGAAGTCTTGGACACCACATCCTCTGGACCAAAACTGAGAGGGGCAAACTGGCTCAGCACTCAGTTCAGCGGCCTGCACTTCTTATGGTATGTGGGTGCATCAGTGCCTCTGGAACTGGGAGCTTGGAAAGGCACCATCAGTGCTCAAGAGAGGAGTGGCGGCGCATAAAGTTCAACATATTCTTCTTCTTCTTCTTCTTCTTCTTCTTCTTCTTCTTCTTCTTCTTCTTCTTCTTCTTCTTTTTTCAGTCCAGACTTTTCACCAACTGAAAATATTTTGATCATTTGGGCAAGGAAGATGCAGGACTGCTGAGTAGCTGGAATCCTGTGTCAGACAAAAACAGGACAATATTTCTCTCCCAAAAGTCCTGCAGCTGCTCTCCTCAGTTCCCAGATGTTTACAGGCTGTTGTTCAAATAAGAAATTGATATGTTTCCTATGTTCTAATGTGTTTATGAGATTTACAAATCATTGCTTTCTGTTTTTATTTACATTTGGCACGGTGCTCCCATGTTTTTAAAATTATATAAATGCTAGTGTTAGTGCTCATGCCATCTTCTTTTGTTCAGCCCCTGAAATTAAAGCTAAAGCTTTGCACTTTAGGCCCATATTCATCACACACCCGTAACTTGAAATAGTTTCGGCACACAGCTAAAATAACAAAAATTGCACATGCTTCCAAAAATACACATCGCAGCTGTACGATTTCCTCTTGTGCATCCTCAATCCTGAGCTTAATATGGACACAAGAATGAAGATGAATCAGAGTGATTCCCAAAAACACGTAAAAAGTGTCTGCCAGAAGACATCACGGCCGTGATGCTGATTATGTATCATGGAAACGATACGAGGTGAAATATTTGGACTGTATGCAGGCATTTCAGTGTCGTGGTTTTGGTATTTGGAGCATTTGCCAAACTGACCACAGTCAAAAAAAGGTTCTCAGAGTAACCGAGGGCAGCAGTGAACTAACAACTGGCAAGTTATCATGTGGCTTTGGCCTGATTAAAATGATACAAGATAGTTTAGGAATTTAGCCCAACCAGATTGTCCCAGACGTAAGTGTTGGACGGCTCAATGGACCTCAAACATTGACTTCTGAGTGGGTTTTGGGTCATTTTGAGGCATTTCAGTGACTCTTGTTATGCTACAGCATCTGTTTTCAAAAAGTAGAGGAACATTTTTGTTCAGGATTGAATAAATGTGGTTATTTAAGTAGTTGGAAGTTGAAAGTTTCCATTATTGTGGTTTTCAAATTACTTCACGTAGCTTAGCCATTTCAGGACTGCAGTGTCTGAATGTTTATTGGTCAACATCCAGTTTGTTTGTACAAATTCAGCTCTAATAATGTTGAAACAACAGTAGCTGATGTTTTTATTCCATCCATCCATTTTCCTTACCACATTTCAAATTTAAGAACTCAGGGGGGTTGAACTGGTTCCAAGTATACCCTGCACGTATCGCCAGTTACACCAGCCACTCACATCCACACTAAAGGCCCATACAGAAACATAAATTAACCTAACATCCTGGTCTTTGGACTGTGGGAGGTCTGGGGCGAAAACAAAAACAGCATGAAGTTGCTGTAACTGTTGTGATTTGGTCTCGGATCATGGCTGAACACATTCTGCAGTCCGCTCGATCCGTGCTGGAAAATTTCAAACATCTCAAATCTCCAGTTCGACGGAGACCTAATCTTTGAACGTCACATCATGAACTAAACACATGTCACGTTTTCTTTTATTATTTTGGAAATATTTTACAAATACGCTCTAGTTTAACGTTTAAAGACACTGCAACTTCTTTGTGCTTGCCTTCACAAAAACTCTTAAGCGACTGCAGACTGTAGAGATGTGAGCTGCCAGGCTTTTAGCTGGACTAACGAGGCGGGATCACATCACTCTCGTTTTGGCATTTGTACCCCGGGATTTTTTTTAGAATCGATTTTAAGCTTTTATTGATTTCTTTTAATGGCTCTGCTCTCAGCTACATCTCTGAACTCTTAGCACCATATGCACCTTATGCACCAGTATGTGCCTCGAGGTCTTTTCTCTGTTACAGGTGCCTGGATGAAACTAATACAGAACAGACAGGACATGAGGCTGTTGGAAGAACCTGCTGGACTAAAGTCAGGCTTGCGGAGTCGGCCACTTCCAAGTCAGGTCTTAAAACCTACGTTCAGGTGAAGGATTTTCATGATGTTATACGAGTTTTTAATGGGGTTTGACCTGTCACTTTTACTACTAGTGCCTTATTACTTTGATGTCACGCAGTATTAAAATTACAAGGCTGTGCCAAGTTATGAACCCTAACAGAACAATGGACAATGTAAACAGACAGAAAACAAAGAACACAAAATATGTCCTTAAGTGTTTAAGGCCCCCCAAAATGATAGAAAACAAATTGTCTTCGCCCTCCAGAGCAGCCAAAATAAAAATATTGTTCCAGTTAATCCTGGTGTTTGATATGGAAGTGAACACCTGATTAACAGATCACTGTTTGTTTCAGCACTTTCTAAGACTGGCGTTTAATTTTAGTATTATTTGATCCCGTGTGAACTATCACGGTCCTTGCAGCTGGAGACCGATCAAAGGATGGTGCAATATGTCGTGCACACTGATCTCTGTAACCTTTGCTGCTGGAAAATACCACCGTGTCTGCCAGCTGTTACTTCTGCCAAGCAGATTCCCTCTGACTGCAGATCAGAGCCACCTCGAAAAAGCTCCTGACACACTGCAGCACACTGAGAATCCTCCCATTCCCAGAAGGATGGTGCAGTCGCACCAAACCACATTATTGTTGTTTGATATGACCTGAAAAGAGGAAATGAAGCCATTGTCCAGCACAAAACTGACTTTAAGTGATTTATTGAATTCTGGTTGGACCGGAACATTTTGTCAAGGTTGTGTTCATGGCCTCACAAAATTGGGATTTGTTTTCCTGTGTTCTCGGCCATGTC